ATCTCCTAACTTTCTTAGTCCATGGATACATCTTTGTATCTTCTTCTCTGTTTTCAATAGCTTTTGGTAAATCCCACTGTCCCCTTTCCATATAACACTACAGGTTTAAAGACTGTTTTAATAATGTCTTAACTTGGCTGTTCTGGAAGTTTTCTTCTTCTTGTATATGTTTTCACTAGATATCTAAGTACGTCGATTTTATATTTTTCATCTACTGTAAATAACTTCCAATATACTTCATAAGTTCTAAGGATTTGAACTGTTTTATAGTTTGGATATCTCAATATTTAGTTCTAATTTTTTTTTGTTAGTTTCTGGGTTATTGATCATTATTTTGGTTTTCTTGAAAGGTTTCTTTTACCCTCTTTTTTTCTTATACTTCCTTTATTTTATCCATCCGGTCTATTGATTCCCGCTCGTTCCCTGTCATTCAAAATATTTAATTATAGAAATTCATCACCATTCTATATGATTACGGATTTTACCGATTAAGTTTCAGACAAAAAAATTCAAACACTGCTTATATTTGAATACTTGATGGTTGACCGTTGTATATTTTTGAGGAAAGAGATGGTCTTGGCGGTCTTAAAAAGACTAAAATAGTGAAAAACTATTTTATTGCAAGCCAAATTCAAGGGCTTGAAATAATACATTTTTTTCAACATTTTTGGCTTTTTATGACCGCCACCCCGAACCATCTCCTTTCTCACTGCTTATATTTAAATAGATACGTAAGCATTTTTTAAATTGAAATATCTTTCATGTACAATCAACGGACGAAAAAAAAAACGCTTGTTATTGTTGGTTAGGGCTTTATAAAAAAATTGCTTGGGTCACAACTTTACCAAGAAAATATGTCACAAGCGTACCCAACACACACTCCTTCACAAAAAAAAAATCGACAATATAAAATTATCTACGCACAAAGTATTCACTGCAAATTAACAACTAATGTTTATCTTATAACGAGGAAAAACATTCATTATTCTATCTGTACATACATAACAACAATTGTTCATATGAATAAAATAGTTACTTTTGTCTGTTAAAATCTGTCTCTATTAGCGTTTATGTCACGCGATGCGTTAGCAATACTGTTAAATATGTTCAAAGAGGCACAACATCGCTTTCTTCATAAGAACCCTATCGTCAATTCCATGTAATTTCTCTATTATGACAACTGTCACAACCGAATCCAGTCTCCCCTTAATAGAGGAGATATTCATCAAAGTACTAAGTTAAGTTATTTTATGAAATTTTAGGTACTAAATGACTTTAATGAACTGACAATATAGTTTCTTATAAACTATATACTTTATGCTAAGGTAAGCCTAATGACTCGCTTAGGAGCCAGATTGAACCCTGATCAAGAGATAGAACTAATTAGCATTTTGGTAATTAGTTGATCCACAAGCCAAATAGTTTTGGTAAATAGTGGTTGTTTGGCATGCAACCAACTGTTTGCCTTCCTCGGCTACCTGTCTTGGAATTTTCTTTATATTGGTTTGTCATCTCCTTTTTTTAATTGTTCCATGTCTGTATTCATTTTGTTTTTATTTTAGTTCTTTATTGTTTGTTTGCTATGAATATTTTTTTTAATTTAAAATAAATATTAAATCATTCATCTAAAATCTAACAAATATCTTCAAATTGACAGTCCTCAACCATTGACCGTCATCAACCAAATTCCTATCATTTACACCAGACCTGAACAAAAAAAAATTTTTTGTTAATATTTTAAAATACATTGTTAAAAATACCAAGTATTATATGTTTTTAAATCACGGAATATTTTAATTACAGAGCATTTAAATCGATTTCAGAAAAAGTATTTCAATTACAAAATACCTCGTATAAACTGGTACCTTATAACTGATTTCTCAAAGAATAGGTTTATTTTTTCTAGGGGTTATGGAATTAGAAGACGGTGAATGTTATTCGGGAATAAATTATTTTATTCAATTAATATTATTTACATTCAATTCATATAGTTTAGGCCTGTGTGGTGTAAACTATAATCAATTCCACGGATGTCCTTTCTTCAGACCATAGTCCAGTTTTGCTTTCACTACATTCTAACTTCGCTCCTGAACCATTACCTCCTAAACTGATCACAGGACGAGTAAACTGGGACAAATTTCGTGATGATTTGGAAAACAAACTAGACCTCAAAATTCCGCTAAAGACAAAAGAATACATTAATGGTGCCATAGAAAACTGACATCATCAATAACAGACAGTATAAATAATAATACCTTTATTAATAAGATTAACAACTCACAAAATACTAACTTTCCACAGCATATTCGTATCTTATTAAAGGAAAACGCAGAGCAAGATCGAAATGGCATCGAACAAGATACCCAACAGATAAAGCGCATTACACCCAACTGACTAACAAACTAAAATCAGAAATTATAAAATACAAAATTCAAAATTTACTGAATTTTACTGAAAAACTTACACCTACCGATAAACCACTATGGACGACCACTAAAAGGCTCCTGAAATTTAAAGACTGCAACCATCCACTACTCACTGAAGCCCAAACCTGGTCCAAATCCGACGAAGAAAAATCCCAAATATTTGCTCACCCCTCTTTGAAACCTTTATTCTTCCGACATTCCATAACTACATCCCGATATTCTTAACCCAAATCACCTTGAATGTATTGAAGCAGAACAGGATATCCCACTCCAAATGTATGAACTCCTCTCGTATCCAATCCTTACAATAAAAAATCCCTCGGAAAATCCTCAATGATCCTTACTTTGTTACCAATAAAATAATCCATAATGACATTAATGTTCCTTATGTTTCCGATTTGGCCCAATCCAGATACCAATCCTTCCATAATAAACTTCAGGACCTTCCGAATCCTCTCGTCTCTAATCTTGCTTCCTCTTCTATCCAAGGCTTTTGAAAAGAAGATGGCCTCGAGATCTCCTATTGTAAATACATTTTGTTTTGAGTGCTACCAGTGGGTAGTTTCTCAACAAGTGATTTCATGTTATTATTTTCTGTTATCAGATTTATTAAATGTATTTTATTTATTAATACAGTTGTAAATATCATGAATAAATAAAAAAAAAAAGGCCTGAGGTGTAATGAAAACTCTTTAACACTTAACCCCTTTGTCCGTAACAGACCTGAGCAAAAAGTATTTTAATTATTATTTTAAAATACAAAGTATTTTGTATAAATATCAAAAGTATTTTTTTTTAACTAAAAAAAACATAATATAAATACGAAATTCTTATTTTTCATGAAGTAAGCGTTTTACAACTAATTCCCTGAATAAAAACATTATTATTTACAAAAAAGGATTCACGAAACTAGAAGATAGTAGACAGAATAAAATACTGGATATATTAAAATAATTTATTGGGAGCATAAATAAAAATTCTCGTATTTCAGGATCTTGGAAAAAAAATGTAAATTAAAAAAAAATACTTTTGAAACAATTGTAATTTATATTCTTCTTCTTAAAATACAAAAAAAAAATTGTATTTTAAAATATTTCATTTGAAATACTGCCCAAAAGTCTGCTTGTACACTAAAACTTCACGTTTGGAGAAAAAAAAAAAAAATTTAAAATTTGTAAGTTTGATTGAAATTCCTACTTTATTCTTAGAATTAATTAAAATTGATAAATATTAAACACCAGAGAATAACCAAAGCAGAAATATTTTTATAGATTGAAAGCGGATATAGGTAACAAAAAATAACACTGTAGACGTACAAGATGCCGTTTGATACATTTTAGATAAAATATCATAAATATATAGGCGGATTAGGCAATGCAGGTTATAGAAAAACGCATTTTTTTTCTAATTTACTTATCTTTAGCTGTTTTATTTATTGTGTGTACTTGTTATTATTATTTAGTTGTTATTTTGCTTTTGTTTTTTATATATTTTTTTGTTCATAGAGAATAAATTTGGTCTTTCCTCCCTATAACCACTGTCCAAGTGACAGAATGTTATATCGTTCAATAAATAAAAAATATACTTAAAGTTATTATGTGACAGTTGCGTGATGGGCGCCTTGCTCCTGATTTTTATTTTATTCCTTCGCTCAAATAATCAAGTGCATGTAATTAATTTCTTTAAATGGTATAAAATCAATATGTTATAAACATATATGTTTATAACACCCTTATACATTAGTTAGCAATGCATCCATTATGTTTAATCGATGAATTATCCAATACTACTAAATTTGTTAATTATAATTATTTTATTTTTACATAAATTTAATTATCTTTATATTACGTATAAATTATTCTGTTATTGCTCTATTTATTATTGCAGTAATCGTTTGGTTTTTTTTCGTTGATACAATATTGATTATTTATTATTACAATATTTATTTATACTCTCCTTACTTTTTGCCTATAGATCCAATTAAATTAACTACAATTCTCAATTTACAGCCTTATTCATTCTTTTTGTTTATTTCAGAGATATTTTAACCTACTCTTCAGCATCTATAATTTTATATATTTAGATTTGGGCAAAAAGTAAGGAGAGAATAATTAATGAAAATTAATAAAATAAATAAATTGCTTCATACATTAATTATTTATTTTATTGTTGAAATATTTTTTTTAATATTATTTTAGTGTGTACATATAGTATGATTCTATATCAAGAATGCTAATACCTATTGCCTTTAATTGTGACGGATTGTATTATTATCATTATTCAATAAAACATTTTAATAAAATTTAAAAACACATTTTATTTTAATTTACATTAATTATATATATATATATATATATATGTTCCCAATGTTTCATAAATTATGTTGTTTTCAATATTAGATCGTTCCTTGATGCTAACTTTAATGTTGCGACTTGCAAATTGTTTAAACAGGAGACGTTCCCAAAGGAAATCTCAAAATCGCAATTCCGTTAAAATCACGATGAATGAATAACATTGCTTATCGATATTAGTTAAGAAATATATAATTTTTACATATTCTAATTTTGAATTATTTTGTTACAGGAGCTGGAGAATCAGGGAAATCAACTATCGTTAAACAAATGAAGTAAGCTAAAAGTATTTTATTATTCTACTATCAGTATTAATGAATTTGGTTTTTATATATTTTTTTAAATGTATCTGTTTGATAAATTATCTTTATATGTTGACCATTTGCAATGGTTGCACCCATTTCCCACATTTCCTATTTCATACTTGTCCGTCATAGTCATTTATATTCATTCATTAAAATTCAAGCAACAATGAAAACTTCAAACTAAAATATGGACCGCTATAAATCAAAAGCGATATTGTTACGGAAACTAATGATAATTCGTAAATAAGTTGTAAGTGTATTCCATTAGCAGATCCAGGATTTATTTATTTTTTTAGAGGAGATTGAGACTTCTGTCCAAAAGCTTTTTTGTTTTTATATCTATAATGCTTATTACTTTGGTAAAATAAATATACTAACTATCTATATGAAATGGTGTTTAAAGTATTCCTGAAATCCTATTAAAATGTAGGATAGTGTATTGTATAGTAGTGTTGCCCCAAACCAGTCTTGGTCTTGCACTTTGCAAGACCAAAACCAAGGCCGCCTAACTGTTGCATGACAAAGAACCAGAACTGGTAAAAAAAAAGTCGATTTTTTAAATAAAAATTAATGCAAAATAGTTACTAATACTTGACAATCTTAGTTACTTTATGTAAATAATTGTTATAACCAATATACTTTTGCATTTAACTCCTCTAATTTTTCATTCGAGCTTAGTTAGGTTTCTCCTATCTAAAAAATTGCATTAATATCTCTATAGTAATAAGCTAATAAGTAGCTGCAAGACTGTTGCGAGATTCTTGCCTAAGACCAAGACTGAGTTTGCAAGACCAAGACTCGTCACTAATGTACACTAGTGTAGAGGTTTTTATGCGATAAATAGCGGGATTATTACGCCTTATTAAACTATAATTATACGAACAATAATACTTTTAGAGATAACGTTTTTCATAAAACATGGTTATGTTTTTTTTATTTTTAGCGACTTCGGCCCGAAAGCCGTGGTAGATCCGCCCGTGGTGTATTAATTTGTTTTAAATTACAAGTTCTATCAGAATAGCTACAGCCCTTCGTAGCGATAATAAAACCAGTCGTTTGAAGTGATGCTGGAATCTCAACCTAAAAGTGAATTTTGTGTTTCTTTCACCGTCTCAGACCATCTGCTTTCTAAACTCAGCTAAAAATATAAGGATTGATATTAAAACATTCGGAGTACCTGCACCCTAATCCTTAGAAATATCCTTGATTCTAAAGCATAGGTTATCACTAAGGCCTAGATTTTTATGCTGTGAAAACCTGTCATATAATATGCAATAAAAAAGTGTAAAATATGCAGTAATTTTTTTTTTTTTTTTAGATTTTATTTGTTTATTTAGAAATATTACATTCTGTCACATCAAGGACATTTATAATAGTGATCAGAGAAAGCACACTCACACTCTATTTACAATAAAAAAAATAAATAAATAATACAGAAACTTAATAATAATAAATATAATAAAATAAAATAAAAATAAATACAATAAAATAAAATAAATGTATATAAACAAAAGAACTAACCTAATCATACACACTCGGGCTTGAGTGGAGGATCTGGCCATTGCCAAAACTCCAATAGATGCTTATTTACAAAAGGTCTCTGGGCCACTGCCGCTTCAACCTTCGAGGAGGATTGTAAGGATGGGTGGTGCTGGATAGAGATTGTGCAAGGGGATTTGGATGATAGGTAAGGTTCTTGGTGAAATTTGGAGAATTTTTCTGGAATAAGGTCTAGGACAAATGGGATATTAAGGTCATGGTGTAGGATTTTGTTATTTACATAGAACGGAGCATCAACTATTGTTCGAAGGACTTTAGATTGAAAGGATTGAATACGTTTGATGTTAGAAGCTTTTGCTGTCCCCCACAGTTCAAGTCCGTATGTCCATATAGGTTTCAGTATTGTCTTGTAGATAAGTAATTTGTTTTCAATAGAAAGTTTGGATTTTCTGTTTAGTAGTCTGTATAGCTGGCCGTATCGTCGGTTGAGTTCTTGTCTTTTGAGTCTAGTATGTGGGTTCCACGTTAGTCTTCGGTCTAAATGAAAGCCAAGATACCGGACTGTGTCTGAGTAAGGAAGCTGGATGGAATTAAAGTGTACTGGTGGACAGGAACTGCGTCGGAGTGTAAAGGTAATATGTTGGCATTTAGATTCATTAACTTTAATGCGCCAGTTATTACACCAGTGCTCAATCAAGGTGAGGTGGTTTTGGAGATTTAAGGATGCTATGTTGGGATCAGAGTTGGATGATAAGATTGCGGTGTCGTCAGCGAATGTTGCAAGAAAAGTATCGGGATGAACAGGGATGTCAGCAGTAAAGAGGATGTAAAGCACGGGACCCAAGACGCTGCCTTGGGGAACACCGGCTTTAACGGAGTAGATATTGGAAAATTCTGTTCCACAGCGAACTCGGAAGGAGCGGTCAGAGAGGTAGGATCGGAGGACTAGGTACAAGGACTGAGGTAAATGGATTTTAAGCTTGAAGAGCAGTCCGGAGTGCCATACCCGGTCAAATGCCTGTGCAATGTCCAGAAATGCACCCGAACAGTATTCCTTGTTTTCTAGGGCTGAGGAAATATGATCAACAACTCGGAGTCCTTGTTGAACAGTAGAATGTTGGGAGCGAAAACCAAACTGATGGGAAGGAATATTTTGGGATTCTATAATGGGTAGGATTCGTTTCAAAAGGATCTTTTCAAAAATTTTTGAAAGGATTGGGAGTAGGCTAATTGGTCTATAGGATGTTGAGATATTGGGAGGTTTGCCTGGTTTTTGGAAAAGGATAATAGTGGAGTGTTTCCATAGCAGAGGAAAGTGGGTGGTGCGTAGGATACAATTGTAGATATATGTAAGGAATATGACTGCTTTGGATGGAAGTTGTCGAAGGATTTGAGGGGTAAGGAGATCATGTCCAGGAGCTTTACGGGGGATTAATTTTTTTAATTGAAATTTCACTTCGGAAGGATGAATAGCTTTTGGGGGCAAGGAAAGTGGGATTGGTGATGTAAGGAGTTCTTCTACTGTTACGGTGTGGGCAGGATGGGATTCCGGATGTGAAATAAATGTATTGGATAGGTGAATGGCGAACTCCTCAGCCTTATCTTCGTCAGATGCTGCCCAGGAACCATCATCTCGTCGGAGGGGTGGGAAATGCGGTGAGGATTTAAGATTTTGGTAGTGGTTTTCCAAAGGGAATTGTCGAGAGAAGAAAGGGAGGATAGGTAGGAGTTGAAGGAATGTGATCTGAAGGTGGCTAATTCCAGTTTTAATTTTTTGCAGTAATAATTATAGGAGCAGCGGTCGGTAGGATGTCGGGTACGTTGCCACAATAATCTGGCACGGCGTTTGGTTTGGATTAGGTCAAGGAGGTGTTGGGATAGAATGGTCTTTTTAGGAATTCTGGAGGAGTCTTTTGGGAAGGAAGCAGTCCAGGCGGCTTGTTGGATTGTGGTAGTAAAGGAATTTACGGCACTATCAAGGTCATCGGGAGTTTTGAGGGATATGTTAAGATCAATTTTATCGGAAATGATTTGGCGGAGAAGGTCCCAGTTAACTGGGCCCCTAATAAATGACGGTGGAGAAGGTTTGGGAACGGGTTCAAGTGAAACATTAAGGATTAGAGGACTATGGTCAGAGGAAAGTTCATTTAGACGTGTAATGGAACAATTGAGGGGACTTAAGCCGCTGTGGATAAAGAAATCAAGAAGATCAGGATTACGGTTGGGATCTGTAGGCCAGTAGGTAGGAGAGTTGGGGGAAAGGAGGTGAAAATGAAGTATGCAGTAATAAAGTATAAAAATTTAAGGTACTTTAGAGGAAGACACGATAATTTTGGGATTCCACAAAGGGAAAATTCATCAAATTATTCATTAATTTAATTTGTTTAAAAGTTACATGACAATTTTTCGTAATAAACGGACGTTGATACCTAATTATTTAAATATAATCTCAGATCTAGAATTATTAAACTACAGTAAATGTATTTAAGGTTATAAACATATGCTTTATACATCCATGAAATGTTTTGATATTTCACTTATTCTTTCATACAAATACAATGAAATAGTTTTTTTAACAATGGCATTGCTTTGATTAGGTAGATTTTAAATACTTTTTTCAAACTTAAAAATATTTTAAATGTTTACATTTAGTCAATAAATTTCATTTAATTTCCTTAAAAACATGTGATTAACGTTAAATAATATTAGTTTTCAAGAATTATTATTTATAATTTTTTTTGCCAATCTCTGTTACCTTCTATGACTTTCTATATTAGATATTGTTTCTTTCTAAAATTCTCCGCTTTTCAATGATATATTATACAAATACCTTCTGACTATTATTACCGGAGATAAATTTTCGACCTGGATAAGCATTTTTATTTATTTTTCTCCTCTATTCAATTATCAAATTCTCGCAAATGTTATATTTAGCATTTTTTTTGTTACTCTAAATAATGTGAGATGATTAATTATTTAAAACAAGTCATATTAAAGGCACTTTAGAGGAAGATGTATATGAACATTGGGCATTTAAGCCCTGAAAAGTGACATCAATGGGGATAAAACCTGATTGATATTTTTTTATGAATTAAATTTCTTTATTGAGTATTATAACAATCTGTCTGTTGGACATTGGTTATAGTGAGGTAGGATGACATTCACACCATATGTACAAAAAAATAAAATAAATAGAACAAAATAACAATCAAAAGTATATACAATAGACAATAAAATAAAATAACCTAAAAAATAAGAAAATTAAAACTAAGGAAAAAAAAAATAAATAACATGCATACCTATATACAATCAGGCGAGGGAACTCCAGGAGAACCCGCGCTACTCTTCCAACCGCGTCACTGGTACTAAAGCCAGCGGAGATTGGTCGAGAGCACTTTAGCCACATACACACATGTCTTGAGTGAAGAATCTGGCCATTGCCAGAACTCCAATTTATATAATCTACAAAA